AATGAGTACAATTATTCATAAAATTATTAAAGTATAACTTAATTACAATTTAATTATAACAATTTATAATTCATAAATTATATATTATATTACATTATTATATATTATTTATTATTATATTATATTCATTATATTATATTGTTACTTAAATGTGGTAGGAATGTTGCTGAACTTTATTGTCATTCTAGCAACATACAGTATAAAGTAGAACTAAATAGCATTTTCTAATGCTTTGGTGCAATATTACAGGAAGTGACAAGTGACTCAGCAGACTGTGACAAGGACAACACAATAAATACCATACAACATGCAACACATTTGTTATAACTTCAAGACAACAGAACCTTTAAGAACTGTTGTAACATTGTGGTATCTACAGTACATACAGTGATCAGCAGCACAGTGACTGGGGTAGTGTGTGACGAGTAAAACTTTAACACTGCAACTAGCAGCATAGACATCGTTAAGTGATAGGAGTACAGCAAGGACTCTATATATGGGTGGACATTGTAAAAGGGTTTTACCCTTAACCGCGCTTCACCGAAATCTAATCCACTTCTGTTGCTTGAATAATTTCTTCGCTGATTTCTGCAAGTTCGCATCCAAAAATCCATCTGTACACTTCTGAGTCCAATAGCCATCATTGAGCACAAGCTCACCAACACTACTGTCGGAAAAACTGTCACGGTTCATAGGTTCATCTGCCTCTTCTGACCGTTCTGTGTACTACCGTTGATGAGTTCACTAGTTTCAGCTGCGGCTCATTATCTGTTACTTGTTGTTTCATATCTGTTTTCTGTGCAGCGCCTGTGGTTTGCTCTGTTCCTGGTTCCTGCTCTCTGGTGGATTATTGGACTGTTTACCACCCGTTGTCTCTCGGTTTGGACTTTTCACCCATTTTCACCCATTGCAGCCTAGCGCTACCGAGGAAGCCGGCCATCACTGCACCCACGACTTTCTGCTTTCAGTAACTCTGTTTGTCTGGTTTACTCTAAAATAAAGCATCATCTATTCACAATTGAATCCATCTTGTTTCTCTTGACAAAAACAGCCCAGCCTCCACCGTGCTTTATAGTTCCCTTAATGCTGTTTAATTGGAATGCTTCTCCTGGCTTTCTCAACACAAACTCTCTACCACCAGGTCCATCCGTGTTCAATATGGATTCATCTGAAAAGGAAACAGTTCTCCAGAAGCTGCTATCTTTCTCTGAATGTCCTTTAGCAAATTTCACCCTTGCTTTCTTATGCTTGAGACTGATGAATGGTTTCTGCTGCATTACTCTCCCTCTGTACGCATGCTCGTTGATCCTGTTCCCAATCGTTTGTGCACTAAGTTGTATCTGGTAATTCTCAGTGAAGTCTGAAGCAATCCTTGCTGCTTTTTCTCGCCTTTTTTCTTGATTTTACTCAATTATTCCTACACAGTGTCTGTTTTTTTCATTCAGTGTCTTTTCATTCAAGTGCTTCACCTTTTGAACTTTTTTTTTTTTTTTTTTTTTTTTTTAAAAAAA